CGTTTTATGAGTTAATTCTAAACGTTTTTTATTTAAAAAGTAATTCTCCATCATTCATAATTAATAAGTTATAACCGAAAACTGTCAAAAACATTGAAATTAGGATTTATTTTTGGGTTGGGTTGGTACTATTGGTCGATGGATTAAAATAACTTATTGAATATGTCTTACAGATTAATTCTAAATCTTTTTTGTATTAAATATTTTTTTCCATCGGTTATAATTATTGAGTTATACAAGAAAATTGTTGAAAACGTCAAAATTTCAATTTTTCTTACGTTGGGTTGGTAATAGTGATTGATGGAATAAATATCTTTATGCAATACGTTTTATGAGTTAATTCTAAACGTTTTTTATTTAAAAGGTAATTCTCCATGATTCATAATGAATAAGTTATAACCGAAAACTGTCAAAAACAATGAAATTAGGATTTATTTTTGGGTTGGGTTGGTACTATTGTTTGATGGATTAAAATAACTTATTGAATATGTCTTATAGATTAATTCTAAACCTTTTTTGTATTAAATATTTTTTTCCATCGGTTACAATTATTGAGTTATACAAGAAAATTGTTGAAAACGTCAAAATTTCAATTTTTCTTAAGTTGGGTTGGTAATAGTGATTGATGGAATAAATATCTTTATGCAATACGTTTTATGAGTTAATTCTAAACGTTTTTTATTTAAAAAGTAATTCTCCATCATTCATAATTAATAAGTTATAACCGAAAACTGTCAAAAACATTTAAATTTGGTTTTATTTTTAGATTGGGTTGGTGCTACTGACCAATGGATTAAAATAACTTATTGGATATGTTTTAATAGTTAATTCTAAACCTTTTTTGTATGAAATGTTTTTTCCATCAGTTATAATTGTTGAGTTATACAAGATAATTGTTGAAAACGTAAAAATTTCTATTTTTGTTGGGTTGGGTTGGTACTCCTGATCCATGGATTAGAATAATATAATATTTTAAACCTTTTTTGTATGAAATATTGTTTTCCATCGGTTATAATATTGAGTTATAAAAGAAAATAAGAATATGAAATGTTCATTCTCACAAATAAATGCGAGTAGAGATCCAACTCAAGGTTTTCAATGTTTTAATGGCCGGGGGCGGCCGATGTCTTCGAAAACGGCCGTGTTAGTTTAAAGTTGTGCTAGAAAATGATGTTGAGGGTTTTTAATCACACTTTTCCAACACAACCTAACCTCACTTTTTCAAATGACATTTTTTTGACGTTTCATTAAAAAAATTTATTTAACTCACTCAGTTCTAGAAATAAAACTAAAAAGAAATTTGCGTTTTACTCACTGGTACACGTTTTGCGTTATAAAGAAAATCAAATAGTAATTCGTGTTTATCGTGGTTCTAAATTAAATTAAAATATTTGACATGATGCGAAGATAGTTACAAACGTATATTTTAAGGCTTTTTTCGGCAGGTGGCGCTATCTCTATGCGTCTCATTAAAAGAAATTTATTTAACTCTCGTTTCAAGCGAGATCGCTTCTTATGAATCGGTTTGATATAAAAAAAGTAAACAAATTCCTTTTTTCGTATAATGTAAACATAAATTAATTAATTTTTATAAAAATCATGACGTTTCATAACATTGACATTTATTGTGAAGTTGGTTACAGTTGGTAACATTGAATTTGTGTCACATTGACGTTTAAACTTTATTCACAAATTTATTTAAAAAAATAAATTTATGGAATCAATTTCAACAGTAGTCGTGGACAAAGTATAGTATTCTACTCACATATAATGAGCTATTAATAATAATTATTTTTTAGTTTACAACGCACTGCCTTGATGTTAGCCGTTTCAAATTTACACATAGATTGTGTTACGACTTTAATAAAATCAGGGGCGGATCCTAATGTTTTAGATAAAGATGGGCATTCGTGTTTGTTTCGAGCTGTAACTTATTTACTCATTTTTTTTTAAATTTATTTTTAATAAGTATTCTTTTTTGAGGTTGTAACGGGTCAACATAGCGTTTTACATATGCTACTTCCACGAAGTACGGTTGTAAACACCCCCGATTCAAACGGAAAAACGATTTTGCACGTTTCCGCTGCATACGGAAAGTTGGCTTGCACCCAGCGGATTTTACCATATATGGAGCCAACTATAGCTAAGGCGTGCGATAAACAAAATTTTACATCTTTACAATGGGCTTGTTATACGGGTAAATAACATTTTTAAAAAACAACCTCAAAGTTTTGATTTAAAATTTTTTTCTAGGTAATTTTGAGTGTGTGGCTCATTTTTTTAAAGAAGGTGTTTTTGATTGTCTCGAAGGGAACCCATTTTCGGCTATTCATTGTGCAGCGTACGTTAAATTTTTTATTATTTTAATAAATTGAATAAGCAATTTTTAGTTCTGCTGGATCGGAACAATGCATCGACCTCCTTTACAAGCAATTCGGCCCCGAAACGGTCAAATTCAAAGACATGAAATGTCGCACGCCTCTGCACGTCGTTGCAATTCATGGCCATTCGGACTGTGCCTTATATCTTTTAAATTTGGGCGCCGAAATTAATGTTAAGGACGAGGATGGGCGGACTCCGTTGATGGTTGCTGCGATGAATGGCCAAATAGAAGTTATGGGTAATTAATTTAAATTAAAATAAAGTTTAAGTAAAAATATACTAGAACTAAACTTAGGTTTTAACCTAAATCTAAACCAAGAATTGGAGATATTCGGGTTTGGTAAATAATACATTAATTCCAAAATGTATTTGAAAATGTATTTTCAAAGAAAAAAAAATCTGTTAAGAGATTAAGGAAATTGACATTTTCGTATGTGGCGCCATCTCTTGTCTTAATCTTTTACTAAAAATTTTTGACATAAAAATAATCAAACTCATTCATTGAAATCTTAATATTAAATTTGATTATTGTTACAAGTTATTACTAGTGTATGAATGAAAAAATGAAAAAGAAAACTTTTAGATTACGATTGAAACGTTTCGATTTTTTTTACAATGACGGGAAAATCACGCACTAAATGTCAGCAATGTTATGTTAGAAAATTGTGCGGGATTTCTTTAAACGGAACGTCGAATAATCAAATTTCGATCACGATTACTTTTTTAAACTCAAAAACTAACGAATTACTAAACGATTTTTCAAAAAAAATCTGTTAAAAGATTAAGTAAATTGACATTTTAGCATGTGGCGCCATCTCTTGTCTTAATCTTTTACTAAAAATTTTTGACATAAAAATAACCAAACTGTCATCGGGAAATGTTAATATTAAATTTAATTGTTGTTAGAATTTTTTGCAAGTGTATGAATGAAAAAATGAAAAAAAAAACTTTTAGATTACGATTTAAACGTTTAGATTTTTTTACAATGAGGGAAAAAAAGTTTTCTAAAAATTCACCAAATGTCAGCAATTTTAGGTTAACAAATCGTGCAGTGTCAATTGGTGTGCAGGATTTTTCCTAAACCAGACGTTGTGTAATCAAATTTCGAGCACGATTACTTTTCTAAACTCAAAAGCTAACGAAGTATAATCATATTTGACAAAATGGTTCCCATTTTACCAGAAATGTCATATTTATTGATAATTGATAAAAAACATACATAAAAATGGTTGTAAAATACACACGAATAAGATACAGGGAAAAATTGCTACATACTATCCTAGAATAAGATGATACTAACTTAAAAACACAATTCTGCAGTTAATCTGTCTGACAATACGCTTCTAGGAGCTTCTTTAGCTTCATTGGTCGGCAATATCGGAACCGTTTTTGGTACTATAAACTATAACACAACGTTATAACTTTCCTTACTGTTGGATTTTAATTTATTTTCGAATAAAAAGGGTTCACATAGAGTTAGCTTGGAATTTTCGACTAGAAAAATGAAGTTTTCAGACAGAAACGTTTCGCAAATCTTTTCCATCAATGGATTATCATTTTAGATAGTCTAAAATACAGTTTAAACAAAAAAGAAACCTTTTTTTTTAAGTTTCAAAAGTGAAAAGTTAATTGACATTTTAGTATGGGCGCCATCTCTTATCTTAATCCTTTACTATGATTTTTTGACATAAAAATAATCAAACTGTCATTTGGAAATGTTAATATTAAGCTTAATTATTATTAGAATTTATTGCAAGTGTATTAAAAATATTCATTTTTCACAAAATGGTGCCGATTTGATTATAAATGTCATATTTATTGATAAAAAACATACATAAAAATGGTTGTAAAACAGACAACTTTAGATACATCAAAAAACTTGTCCTGCTGTTATTATATAACTTTATATACATTTTAACTTGTTTAAAAAAGTAAGGTTGAAATACCTAGATGTATATAATCGAATAAAAAGGATACACAAATACGTTACAGGTAGCTTGGAATTTTCAACTGGAAAAATGAATTTTTTAGACAAAAAAGCGTTCCGCAAATCTTTTCCATAAATGGATTATCATTTTAGATGGTCTAAAATACAGTTTAAACGAAAAAAACGTTTTTTTTTAAGTTTCAAAGATGAAAAATTAGTTGACATTTTAGTATGTGGCGCCATCTCTTGTCTTAATTCGTTACTAAGATTTTTTGACATAAATAATCAAACTGTCATCTGGAAATGTTAATATTAGATTTAATTATTATTAGAATTTATTACAAGTGTATTATAAATATTCATTTTTCACAACATGGTGCCGATTTGATTATAAATGTCATATTTATTGATAAAAAACATACATAAAAATGGTTGTAAAACAGACAACTTTAGATACATCAAAAATCTTTCCTTGCTGTTATTATAAAACTTTATATGCATTGTAACTTATTTTAACAGTAAGGTTTAAATACCTAGATGTATATAATCTAATAAAAAGTATACACAAATACGTTACAGGTAGCTTGGAATTTTTGAACTAGAAAAAATCAATTTTTTAGACAAAAAAGCGTTCCGTAAATCTTTTTTTTCAATGGATTATCATTTTAGATTGTCTAAAATACAGTTTAAACGAAAAGAATTTTTTTAAGTTTCAAAGATGAAAAATTAGTTGACATTTTAGTATGTGGCGCCATCTCTTGTCTTAATCATTTACTACGATTTTTTTGACAAAAATAATCAAACTGTCATCTGGAAATGTTATTATTAAATTTAATTATTA